AACTAAGCTTATTCATCACTTATAAACAAGTTTGTAGCTTAAAAATCGCTGCCAGGCATCGTAATAATCTCCTTTGGGAGATGGAATAGGATCTCTCGCCGAGTAATATATTGAAGTTGATATTTGCAGCCTAAGATAAAGAAAAAATTAGCGATCATGATGCCGTACGGTATAGAATTATCATACATTTCCGTTGAAAATTATGACATCACAACTTGTACTCTGACCTTATGGTGTTTGCAATATTTAGTAACCCTAATGTACATAATGAATTTATCAATGAAACTGATTATAGCTGTTATGGTGAACATGTCTAGCTAATGATAAAATGGTTTACTTAACGTTGTTTTTGAGATGAGAGATTAAAAAGATTCACTATGCTATGCGATATGGCACTTTTACGATATTCAACAACAGATCATAGCGAATAGACTATTCATTCGAAGATCAGAAAAGTTATATTTAATCGGTATTCAAAAACTTTAGGTATAAATTATATTATTACACTATGAAGTTAAAATCCGTATTTAGCTTTTGATATATTTTGTATATGTTCATACAAGTTCTCATAAATATGCAAGTTAGGACAAATTCGTTTTTAAATGCCGTATCGGTATCTAAACAGAATTACCTGGTATGTTAAATTCTAATTGTACTTACATGTTAGTCTGCCAAATTAGTGGAAGCTTACTTATATTAATAATCAATAATTGTTAGGAGGCCAAAGTCCTCGTAAATTGTAAATCTTGTTGACATAAGTATACAATTGAAACATTTATTGGAAGTAAAATTAACATAAAAAATTGCCTGTATTAATGAAAATATTAACATTGATATTGCTTCAAATATCTTAAGCTTCTCTGTCTAGTTACGGTACTTTATTATAGAGCTATTACTTCATGTAAAGTTTGTGTACAAATTTGTGTATTCAAAATGAAAATAGTCTCTAACTGTTCAGCTTGACTTCTTATCTAAGGAACTACTATGCGATGACTTTAATGAAAGAAATGATAATATGTTTGTCACATAATAAATGTCGCTTACTAATTTGGCAACTTAAGCTCAAAATACCAATTTACTGGTTGCTAATTACCCATCATTCTTCCTCCTATAGGACGTTATACCTGTATATTAGGGCTATCGAATGTTCTATTACTGTAGAGACTGGTATGTCCCTCACTCGTTATACTTTGCGTAGTTTGTCATCGTATAGTTCATCTTTCAACTATTTTTATTGGTTAAATTATCACTCCACAATTTGCTTTGGACAAGATATATCTAAATTCCTAGCATTACTTTAAGATACGGTTTTAAAATCATGTCAATATATGCGTGTTGCATACTGCTGATATTATTAACATTATCTTCTCTCAACTATTGCCAGTAAATTAAAAGAATTAATTTAGTGGATAAACATATGCATGAGTAACCTTATTAATTTAGCATTGCAACGCGAACATTAGTTTAATAAAAACGACTATTTACTATGCTTTAGAATTAGTAATGATCTATGAATAAATTAAAGTAGAATAACCTAAAACGAAGTAATTGGATAAGATACGATTAATTCTACATTTTAATATTTCAATGAGAGACTTAATAAGTAATGCTAAGTATACGTACTGTCTATACACTAGTTTCCACAAAATATAGTAATTCCTTATTATCTTTTATCATCCAATTATCCTATCTCACGTCGTCGAATTACACTAAATCATATCCTACATTGATGATAGCATGCGTAAAAGCTAAACTTTCGTCCTTCTTTGTTGACAATTAAAATGGAGTAAATAATATATTATATTCATAAGTATTAATTAGCATGGAGTATGTTGAAGTTATTATCTTCGACTATGTAAGGAGCGAACATTTATTGAAAAATCTTTGCTTAAGCCACATTCCAACTCATAATAGTAAGCCAAAAGATCTTTTAAAGATTGGTGGGGCTCAAATCCCGATTTTAGGAGAGAAATCTTGAAATTTGTAGTTGAAGGCTCCGTCAAAAGTTAAATATCATATTGATGCTAACGATACTCAGCAATAAGCAAACATTTGCAGAGTATTTAAGCCACTAGGCTACTACGAACATTTTAAGAGCTTCCTGACGATAATAGCGCTCTTTTTCGTCCCGATCTTTGAGATACTTATTTGTATATTATTGATTGTGATCAAATTTGCATTTTTTTAGTATATTCATGGGAGTACACGTAATAATAATAGTATATTATTTCAGCAAGATAGCAAAAGAATATTTTAACCTTTCAAAGGTCACAGCGATAGATTAATATCAACCAAGAGGCATAAAAATTGATCTATTGAATCAGTTGATAGCATAAGAGAAAAGGAAAAGCAAATCCGAAAGGACCACTTGAAAACCTAATTTCACTGTGTTGCTAATCATCACAACAATATTAACGATATTGCTACCCGCAATCTTCTACTATTATCAGTATATTAAGCCATTCTCTTATTTCGCAAAGAGAGGTATACCAGGTCCTAAGTCAAGTATTATCTTCGGTAATTTATTGGATTACCAAAACAAATTCGAGCTGCGATATGAAAGTGTGGCGATAAATGCTAAAAAATATGGCAAAGTTATTGGTTGTTATTACGGAAAATATCCAGTATTATATATTGTAGATGTCGATATGGTACAAAAAGTATTAATTACACAATCTAAGAAATTCATTAATCGCATATCCCTGTCATCTGCCAATAGGAAATCAATTGGATTATTTCAAGCTTGTGATGAAGTGTGGAAAAGAGCTCGTGATAGTTTATCTCCGCTATTTTCATCAATGAATTTAAACGAAATGATTGCTTTTACTAATAAAGCAGGTAAGAAATTATCGCAAATAATATTAGAAAAAAGTGGACAATGATCAAACTGTTATGGATGTGAAGAGATTATACTATAACGCTACCATGGAAGTATCCATGGCTACCTTATTCGGCGTTGAATCTAATGTGCAGCATCAGGAGATTCAATTGGAAAAGGATTTATCTACCTTTATCACATCAACTGTAGATTTTAATACAGCAATATCTATGGCATTGCCAACTCTTATGAAGTACGTGGAATTCCTAATTAATCATCGCCGGATCAGCGCGATCATTAATGCCACAAGAGCCTTACGACAGATTGTTGCAGATAGACGTAATGAAATGCCTCAAAGTGACGCCAAGAAAAATCGTACCGATATGCTGACCTTAATATTAAAAGCTGAGAATAATCAAAAAATCAACTATGATAATGCGATGCAACATTGTTAACATTTTTAGTAGGTGGCTATGATACTACAGCTTCAACGTTGACATTCATTTCGTATTTATTAGCCACTCATTTACAAGTGCAAGATCGAGCAATTGCTGAAATAGATGAAAAATGTCCTTCTGATAGGTCTCTAACATATGAATCTGCAAATAGTCTTACATATATAAGCATGATAATCAACGAAAGAATTAGATTATTCTCACCGGGTTATATTAATCTACGTGAAGCAAAAGAAGACTTCGAGATCAATGGCGTTCAAATAGCTAAAGGTATAGGCTTGGCAGTTGCTGTCAAAGCTATTCAAAGTGATCCAGAATTATGGCTCGATCCAGAAAAATTCATTCCAGAAAAATTTTCATCTGATAAAAGCGCTAATCGTCACCACTGTAGCTTTTTTGCCATTTAGTGAGGGCCCAAGGAGCTGCGTGGGTAAAAGACTGGGCTTAATTAATGTTAAATTGATATTAGCTCGATTATTACTGAAAGTACGATTTAATATCTCCGACAAAACTGAATTTCCATTGCCTACCGTTGCCCAGTTTACGTTGGTTCCAAAGAATCCTGTTTATCTTCAAGTCGTCCGTCGTACATAGGCTCAGAAAATAGGTTAAAAGTTACCTTTTCAACAGCTAGAGCTTAATTCTCGATAGATGTTGTGCGTTGAATTAATTCCTATTTCCTCAATTCGAATAATTTAAAAATTTCCTGGCCAACTAGAGACCGATGATAAGCTTAAGGAACTGTAAATAGCTCTTCGAAAAATAATTCAACAAAGTATTGATACATCATTACTTGGCTTTTGATATATATTGCTTAGCTAGGCTTTATTTGATTCTGTTCTTGTTATTACTTAGCTTATAAGATACAAGATAATAACCGTGTAAATTCAACAAAGTCGAACTATGGTATATCATCTGCCAGCTTTTTCTTATTTTAGCGTTTATGATAATTCTAGATATTTGCTACCACACAAGGTTTCATAGAAAAGTTCCCTATTTACTGTTACTTATGAGCAGAACTGATTTATTGTACCTGAATCTGTATAATTTAGCACTTAACATTTTAAGCAATATGATATAGTTTAAACTTCGCTTGTAATGAGCCAAACTCGCACAGAATTATGATCCTTACGAAAGATATATCGGTGGCTGTATCTTTAATAAAATTTGTTTCATTCTCTCTACTCACGAAGTACCGAATACTTTCTGAAAGATAAATTCTACCAACATACGGCAATTATCATGCGCTATTCGAAAAATCTCAGCTGAGAATTGACTTATATTAAAAAATGTTTCGAGTTCATCAGCTTAACTTCAACTGCTGCTGCTGTACGATATTCTAAAAGACTTAATTTCAGAAAATTAATGGATTTCTAATTAAGTATTACTTTGGGTTACCCGTTTACGATATCATTGATCAATTTAGACCCTCCGCTTTAATTTGATGCAGTGAAATCCGCAGCAAAGATTTAATTTAGGGAAAGCATAATTTAAAATCTGAAAATTGAGGTTAATACGCTCAACAGCTACGTGGCTTTCTTAAAAACTACTATATCTCCGGTTCTAAATAGCCACATGATATTCTTCTAGTGTCCTTTATAGAATTCTATATAATTATACTATTAATAATTATATCATTGGTCCCTAGCTCGAAGTAGCTATTAAACTTTTGTTAAACTATAGTTCTGATCAAGCAATCACCTTGCCGGGTAAAGAATACCATTTAATTGTACTATAAAGGATAGTATCGTTGAACTCTATCTCTAAAACTTGTATGAGGTTTTACTGATCTATTATACTGCTGTGATTGATCACCTTGCCATTTAAAGAGTCTATGTATGTAATACTGCCAAAGATTATAGTTACTATCTATTTATTTTATATCCACAAACTATAGCGAATTGTAACTATGTTTGAGCGAAATTTAATCCAATAAATAATTTATCTAAATAATAATATTACCGAACAGTATGCACAATTTCCCTCGATAAGTTCCTTATGTAAGAATCGTGTACTGCTTTTAAGAAAATGGTCACATATATATATTTCCACGGGTAATTTACGCATTTAAACGGCACTCATGAGTAAAACTGTAATAACCAATATAAAAATTGCTTTTTTGCACAAGTCTACAGCCATAGACATTGATTTCGTAATACAGATAGGAAAAGTGTAAGATGCTTTAGTCTACGTTATAAAACGCCAAATTCAGGGACCTTAAAAAAATTAAACTTTATTTTTCCACCAGTCTGCTAATATTTTACGTAAATTTTATTAGTTTATGACAACATATAAATAATTATTTCACCAGATCTTGCACGATGTGCAATACTTACAGGGCGACGGCACACAGCAATGTTCGGGATGGCAAAGTAGAAAACGTGAATTACAAATTAACATGTAAATTTAGTCCATACTTCTATTGTATGGCGCAAATTGGCTTCGATACTATTTATGTTTGATATCTTTTTGAAAGGATTTATGATTAAAGACCTCTTTGTTGAGGATTTAAGCCACTAGACTACCGTAGTCCATGCTTCCAGGTCTTATCCAGCCTGCAATATGGTTTCGTTTACGATTACAATCAAGATTACTGTTCAAGACTTTAGGAAAACCATCATAAAAATTTATGTTATACGTATATATTATTTTTATTTATTGCACAAGTGTTACCTATTTAGGTCTCTAATCAGCACGGTTTTGAATAATCAGCGTTATACAGTTACTTTCATTGAAGGTTAAGGTCAGGATTTCAGTCGAGAACTGTCCTGAAACTAGTATGAAAAGTGATCTGCTGCTGTCGGTGGCTTGTTGTATACCTTACGCATCCTACTGTACATCATTTTAGAAGGATTTACATTCATAGCTCCTTTCTTAACGGATTCCAGCCGTCGAGGTGCTGCTTTTCATTACAATATTGTGTTTATAGTTCGCGCGTTATGTAATTACAGCAATTTTTTAAGTGTATGAATTCCTTGAATTTACGTAGAGAAACAGGGAGGGATTACAAACTTTGATTTGATAAATTTACTTGCAATTGCAAATAAAAGAAATTAAATCAAGACTTTCACATTTTTTTACTCGGGAATAAATCATGCTTCCATTGAGAGTTTTGACGTCATTGGTTAATGGATTATACTGGCGCGCACCTTGATGAAGCAATCGAGTTAACTATTAGAAAAGCTGATTGATTATGACGTACTTTTATAATTTGATTAGTAATAGAATTTAATTAATTAATATAAATCTCATTATCAACAATATCAGCTAGAGAAAAGCGTTGGTCCTCTACTCTTTTATCCAGTAACTATATCAGAATTAGTACAATACCAACGTTTTCCAGGCATAATTCTCGCTAGCTAATCATTGGACCATTAATTGCAGTGTATTTCTGCATCGAATAATGAACGAGCATAGTTTACAGGGTTTCTGAATATATCATTATTTTTATCAACATTTACAGTACTATATATAGCAATAGGACGTGCTAATAAATAATTAAGATTAGCAGCAAAGGCTATATCAGATAAGATCAATTAAAAAAATTCGCGTTTACGGTCATTATTTCTAGGTTATCGAAAATGCCGTGATGGTTCTAATAAACAAAATGATAGGAATTCATTAATTGATTCCATATATTAGTCTTTTCATGATATTCCAAGGGTACGGCATTGAAATACGTCGAATAAAATAAATTAGAACGATACCGTGAAATAAATACTGAATATAAAAAATCAGTTAATAAACTGGATTTCTTCAATGAGTATTTTCAAATAAAATGATTATGAGAAATGACCTTAAGAAATCGACAGTTAGATTGGAATAGTAGTAATTGTTTTGGTATAGTGTGCAGCTATTACTAGATATTCATTAACCAGCAGACATTATTGGTAGGATCAATGCTGTATGCCTATGGTAGAAAGATTTTGCTTTCGTTACATTGTCCGCAGGTAAGTTATGGTAACCTATAATACGGTACATAAACTTTCTCGCGAATAATTAGTAGTTACTCTCTTCAGCGCTAAGTTTACGAGTAATAGAGGATAATACACGGTAATTGGTAGTTCTATAGACAGCAAATTCTGATACAAGTATTCGTTTAGATTCTCGACTTCTGGCGAGCATCTGAATTTCATATATTGTAATGTGCTGCCTTATTTTTCTTTCACGTTTCGGGAAACATAAAACTATTTGGCATCAAGCTCAATTTTTTCGCTTATATATAAATTTATAGAAATATATTCATAAAGTTAATATGATATGATTATTCATCTCTCAATCGCTAAAGCTTGACGCGGGAGTTTCTAAAGAATCATTATCCCTTGCATAGCTTGTTAGTAACGCTACTATAGCAACATAACCTTTCAAAAATTTCTCTCCTACTGTACATTATACTCGTATAAGGCGTAAGAGTTTCCAAATTTTGCTGCCAGTACATTAACTTTTTAATACTAGCTCTACAGTATAATATGTAACCTTGGCAGATGCAATGATTACCCCCAGTATCTATTAATTTTGATCTCTCTCTCCAAACCAAACTATTAATTATACATCATTAATGATCACAATACCTACATTTACAATCTAATCCAATCAATACCTAAAAGTA